ATTAATACACATAATGTCTGTATTAATTCAGCAGTCAAAATGAATGACTCAACCAATGTGATTAGTTTCAGTTATCCCTAATCCACATGCAGAGTCTACAACAAGCACGACTATCCTCCACCGATAGCCCAAAACAGTTATTTCTAGATTTGGAAATAAATATATCAACAATTCAATAGGCGAGTGATTTAAATTATCCAACTACACCATTTAATCAATGAATTCCTCAATTCCCTTAAATTAATTATACAAATTAATTAATTAATACAACTAGGGTTTTTCCCAAAATTATCAAAGTAACCCCAACATATCAATATACCAAAACTTAGAACAAAACCTATAAAATGGAGTAGGAAATCCCTACCTCGAAGAAAAACAACCCAAATGGAGAAGACAGAGATGAATACCCAAATACCAAAGTGCTCCAAATTGCCAAATGTTCAGATTAAATGGAAGCCCTCGACTCACTCTACCTTTTTAATGAAGGATCTAGGGTAGAAACACACCCTAAGTGGATCAAATCTAAGAGAGAAGGTGAGTAGGGAGAGAGAGAAGTCGGACCTAGGGTTTGGAATAAAAAAGAAGATTAAAAAGACTGATCAAAACCCGCTGCTGCGTATATAAACTGGACAGGCTCGCTCGAGCGAAGACATGGTCGCTCGAGCGACCAGACACAAGAAAACCTCGCTCGAGCAAAGAAAATCTCGCTCGAGCCAAGAATGCAATGCTACAGGTCCATACTGGACGCAACCTCTCGCTCGAGCGACCAAACCCTAGCTCGAGCGAAGAACCAAAAACAACATCTCGCTCGAGCGACCAACCACTCACTCGAGCGAAGAACCAAAATACTGGACAGTAACACTAGGTTTCTAAACCCAACCAACCTGAAACAAACCTGCCCAACACATCCTATAACTCCAAATAAGAAAATAAGGGACAACAACAACAATTATACAATAACAGAATCTACGGAACCTAAGTCCGGATACAATAATCAAATGGGAAAAGACCGGGGTCGCTATATTTGTATTATTATATCCTTGGTAACAATTTGAGAAATATATATATTAAAAAAAATTAATAAATATGAATAATATCTTACTATATAAAACAGTGAAAAAATAGCTAATATATAGCCATTCCCTTTTTTTTTAACTTTTTAATTTTCAAAACACTTTTAAGATTAGTACAGACAATAGTTTAATGTTTTTCTATTGATAGATGGAATGAGAATTTGACAAACATAGCAAAATCAATTACAAACAAAAGTAACCAAAGATAAGTTTTCAGATTTCAAGATGAACTGGACCTCAAAAAGTGGATAACAAATAGAACTGAACAAATTCGGGTGTATGGATTGAAACCTAAGTTCTACACAAATGCATTTACAAAACCAAAAATAATAATAAATAGCAAAAAATGTACAGATGTTAGAACTTAGAACACACGAGCGCATCCAAAAGAGTAGAATCAGTAAACATCGACCATAGATCAACTTCCTTTTTCATTTGAGAGTATTGAATACATCCATAATTCTAAGTTTCATGTTACTATTCTCAAGAGACGATCACATAGCTACATCCAAACTCTAGGACAATTCCTACTTGAATTTGGACTCTAATTCACAAAGAATCTCCAATTAAAATTCACCAAGGTATCCATTTACATAACCCAATATAGAATCATCGACAATTCGAAACCTTTTCTCTTCCCAACCATTTAAGGTTAAGAATATGTGAAGGCACGTTTATCTCTATAAAATGGTGCGGATGCATATATATATATAGTATACCAGCCGATGACCCTACAAACGCTTTACACTCAATCATTCCCATTTCGGGTTAAGAAGATGTAAAAGTGTGTTTATCACTAATTTGGGTCTGGGTTGAATCATTTATTTAATCTGTTCTTTCAATGCGAAGGGGAGGGGAAAAAAAAGGAAATATGCTATTTGAATTAAAAGAAAACTAATGTGAGGTAATATTAAAAAGTAATATATAAAACCATCCTAGAGTTTACAACAACTATCAATATTAAAAAGTAATATATAAAATGTTTTTCTATGTGTGAACATATTTATATTGTTACAAAATAAATAGAAAAAAAGAAAGGATTTTACAGTCTTTTTGGATGGAGTGATTTGATGAGAAATGAATTTCTCTTAGCTACTAAAGAGAAGAGAAATGAGAAGAAATAAAGACATTTTTTTTTTTGAAAAAACCCATTTTTTGAATCTCTCCGAAAGTGGAAGGATTGAAAGAGAAAAGAAATCAACTCATTTAAAATATTTGATAATACCAATTGCCCATCTAAATATGGAAGAAATAAAAAAGAATGACACCCATGTTAAAAACGACATAATAAACAAATCATCAATTAAAGCAACCTGAAGGCCATGTCGAAAACAACCTCCTACAGAAAACTGACAATCCCAAGTAAAAAAAACTCAAAACAGTTTTCAAGAATTCTAAAAATGTAAATAAAAAATTATAAAAATAAATATTACCAAATAAACAGTTAACATTTGATTATATCCACGATCTTACATAAATAAATAAAGACAGTATAAGACATATATAGGGTAGATATTGTCACAACAAGACAGGCTCATGGTTTGTTCCAAATATATTTTGATAATTCAAATCATTTATATAAAATCATGTGATCTTATTATAAGTTACTACTCGACAAATTTTATAATATGAACTACTTGAATCATCAAAATAGATTGAAGTCACACCTCGAACTTCATAGCACCAACACCCCACTTCGGTTAGACAAAATAAACAGGGGAGGGGGAAGCTTCTAGAAATTTCCTCATCTCTTTTGTTGATTTCAGTGAAGGCTAGTAACGGAATTCCAATTTATTGTGGCACAAATGTAAAAACCCACATAACTGGACGGCCTAGATCTTTTTGTGGCAATACCACACATGGCCTGGACTAGGGTAAAATTGAATGGATGAGGAGGCTCTATTTTTTATTCTTTTTGAGTAATAGCACTGCTGCAACACAAGAAAACATCCTTTTTACTGCAATATAAAAGCTAATTTTCGAATTGGCTATTGGAATTCATTCTAAAAGGAAAAAAAAAGGGAATGATGTTGAGAGGGAAGAACAAAAGAACATAAATAAGTCAGAAATTTCCACATCTAGGGTAGAGCACTGGAGATGCTTTCAATTCCCCGAAGAAGCTCCAATGGCAACAGCTTCAACTTCTGCTGATCAGAAGGCTAGCTTACACGTCTTACTCGCTGAATCAAATCGCACCTGGTAGAAGCAAAATATATCAGAGCCCCACAGGTAAGGCGATATAGCTGAGGGAAAATTACTCACAAAAGACTACAAAAGCATCTTGAAAGCCAAAGGACCTCAAACTTGAAAGCGTCTTTTGTTAAGATCCCCACTAACTATAAACTTCTCCCAGAGGACTGATTATTAATTTTCCCATTTATTAATTAATGCCATTGTACATAATAAATATATATAATAACAAAAAAAGAGGTAAAAATAACAAGTACATGAATCTTCAAGTCATCTATAACATATATGAATTTAAATAATGATACTAATAATAATAATAAATTCTAAAATGAACATAAATCAAGCTAAAGCTCATGTTCTCAAACTCGTAATTGTGGCCTTATACGACTTGTCGAGAAGATCATTTCATACCAAAAAACAAAACATATTGATCAAGTATCAATAGCCACGATCAAATCATATTTGTCACTAAAAAATAAGCAATTGATTCTCAAAATTAAATCTGCTGTTCATTTTTTTTATGACAAATGCGAACCGATCATGTTATTTCCAATGTCCTGACATTTACATGGATGATTTACCAGTCAAGCCCTGCAATGTGAACTGTTTGGATATACCCAAAATAAATGTTTCTATTGCAACTGTTCAGTTTAGTACCATAAACCAAGTATCTAGCACAAGATTGCCTCTAAAGTGTGATGGTAAAGGAAAGGCATTTACCTTGCCTTGACAAAATATGTCAGCAATGAATGTCTTCATTCTGGGAAATTAACTCACTCCATAAACAACCTCATCCACAAAAATTGCAAAATAACAATCAGACATTCAAAGTTTTCACCATCACAACCCCTCTTCTTTTTGCAAAGAATTAAATAGAAACTTTGGCAAGTCCCGGATAGCGGTGGAATATAAAATTTCAATATAAATTTTACTGGTCCAATACATCCCGTTTTATTCGTTTATTTCACCTCTTGCGTACGAGTCATCCATAACAAAATTTACTGAGATTGATATCCGCTATCTTTGGTTTAATTTTAAAATCCCTTTTTAAAAAAAAAATTAAAAAATTAAAATTAAAATTAAACCCGAACGCTCTTCAGCAACTTGGAGGACACATGTGTGCATCACTTAAACGTACATGTCAATCAATTAGACACACGTAAAACTAATTATAAGTTTGAATTAATTAACTTAGGATACATACAATAACAAAAGAAAATTAATATACATTTACAGCAATTAGTATTATATTGTATCTTTTTATTATCTTTCAATGGTGTATTTATGTATGAGATATAATAAATATATAATACATTTGTACAGCTTTCCTACATGTTGTGTGCTACATGTTTTGAAAATTGACATGTCGTATACATGTCGTGTCAAGTCACGTGTCCGTATCCGTGCTTCTTAGGTCTTTTGCATGTAGATGTGTGTTGATCAAGCATGTCCTCTCAGCCATTCCTAAGTATCTGTTGTCAGCTTTCACGGCTCCTAAATATTTATTTCACGAGTAAAGAGTGTAGTAACTATGTCCTTGTGGGATATTAAAGAGGGTAGAGGGTTGTATAATACAAATTGTATTTGGTGTTCAGGATAATGGGTTCTTCAATGTGTTGCAAATTATTTCATATCCAACTTTGTTCATCTTTGGTAAAGTGTTTTCTACTAAGTATTGTGTAATAAAAACTTTCTAGAGCTTAAACCGAAATCAGGTTATACTTTAGGCTAGCATAGCATTCTGTGGGGAAAGGAACTGCCAAAAGGGATCGAAGATGGGTTGTGGGAATAGGGCAGAACAGGAACAATGGATCCCAATCTTGAGGCATATGTATTGCAGAATGGGCAAAGGGAAAATTAATTCAATCTTCCCTGTCTCACACCTCATGGATTGCGAGTCCAGGACTTGGAGGAACACTTGGTTCATACTCCATTCCAAATCAAAGTGACATCTAGAAAAATTTGTGGGGGTTCCAAAATGGGCCCTCTTTCTCTGGAAAATACTTCACCACACTATACCTGTTAAATCTATTCTTAGTAATAGAGGCTTGGAAAAGAATGAGAATTGTCCTAGATGTGGAAGGAGCGGGGAAACAATGGATTGTTTTGAATGCACCCATTTCAAGTGGGTATGGAAGGGATTAGTGTTGGGCTTAGACTTTGAGCAAGGTCAGGCTGTAAACTTTTGAGGAATGGTTTAGAAGTTGGCTATGGCTGGCACCTGATAGTGATGCAATTATTATTGTTATTATTTAACTCAATATCTGGCCCAATGGACCGACTAATCTAGAGGATCAATCCCACCGTCCACTAGCAAGGAGCCCAGTTAAAGCCTTATCTTATGGCAATTACATCAGAAATGGGTTTGTTTTGATAATAACTTGGTCCTCGTAAGAATTACAATAGAGTTAGTAAAGCAATTATGGGCATCCTGATCCGAGGCCAAGGATTCAAACTTTTGAGTGTAGACGAATACAGTATTTTATCTATGGACTGTGGAAGGATGATTACACTGACTTTCATTTACATTCTCATCATCTTCTTTATAATGCAGATGAAAATAGAAAGCTTGTTGCAGTGGATGCAGCTTGGGTGTGAGACTCATGTGCAACAGGGATGGCTTGGGTAAGCTTAAACTATTAGGGCAGAGAGGAGGATCAACAATGTAGGCCTCTGTTCACATCCTCTCTGCTAGTAGCAGAAGCCAGAGCTTGCTTAGTAGCTGTACAGTGGTGCATGCAGGAAGGTTTCAGGGCAGTTGAAATTTGGACTGAGTACAAGGTGTTAGTCCAGGAGTTAATCAAAAGAAGATCAACAAACAGAGAAGTTGATTCCATAATCCATGATATTTTATGGTTATGTACTGTTTTTGGCTATATTGAGATTAGGAAAGTAGATAGGATCAGGACCGTGTTTTGGCCAAAGCAGCCCGAGGCTCAAGAAGCTAATTATAATTGATGTACAGATGTCCATTATACATCTGTATTTTAATCCGCAAAGGGAAGAAAAACTAGAATACTAATTGGGGATATTTCGGAAACTAAGCAATAGAATGGGAGTTATTTGCATAATCAGAAATTTAGAATCAGGTAAAGGTTACCCTCTCCCATCCCCATCCCCATCCCCATCCCCATCCCCGGAACAGATTCACCCTTGCTCACCCCAAACCTGACTTTTCCTATTAATGGCCCCACACAAGTCACATTAGGGTCAGGTGGGTCGCAGTTTTTGCCATCCTAGGAAAGACAATTCTTTTTTCTTCTTTAAGTGGGCATTTTCAAGTGCCTTTAAAAATAAAACTATAAACAATTTTAATTCCATAAATCTATTTATTATTAATTTCTAATGCTAACAACAACACGACTTTGATAAATGCGACAAGAAAAAAAATAAAATGTATCACTAAGATAAAGAAAATGCAAACTTTAGAAGAGTCCTCACGTTTAGTGGTGAATCCATATAGACATCCTTCAACCCGAATGAAGTCATTGTACTTGACCACTGTATCTGACGAGCAAAAAAAAAAAAAAAACTTCTTTCATCAAAAAGTTAAAGAAGCCAACAATCCAAAAGTCAAGTGCAAATTTAAATAAAATCAAATCAAGAAAATGTGTTTACCACGAAGACCGATGAATGTTAAAGGGGGATGCAAGTTGTAGAAGGACCATACAGGAATTCCAGTTGGATCGAACTCGACATGCTGGAGATGAGGAAAACATTTCGCAGCCACTTGACAAATCCCGAGCTGACTATAGAGATGAATAAGGCCATCGTTGTTCAGACGACGAACGATTGATTTCGCTCAATCTAAGAACATGTTTGCTTTCGGGTGATCAAACGTGTCTTCAGTTATAGCTAAAACAACAAAGTTTAAAAAATAAATAAAACAAAATAAAATTTGTCAGATGTGGAAAGTCTTTAGGGCAATTTGATTCACAATACTCTCATGCACAATACGTCTTAACGTGGCATTTCTATAAATAACATTTATCCAAATTGTTGTAACAAACAATATATCTACTAGTGAATAAAATTGAACTTAAAAAATAAAATGATATTCTTATACAAACTATATTCTTATAAAATTTTTATCAAAATAATATGGTGGTGGGATTTCGATAATTAAATATTAATTTTATAGATGTTTTATTTTAAATTAATAAATGTTAATGTAGTCGCTTATTTTGTATACAAATTATATATATTCGTATTCTTGATGTTTGTATTATTATTATTATTACTCTATCCTTGGTAACAATTTGAGGAATATATATATACATTAAAAAAATAATAAATATGAATAATATCTTACCATATAAAATTGTGAAAAAAAAGCTAACATATAGCCATCCCTTTTTTAAACCTATTTTCAAAACACTTTTAAGGCTGGTACAGACAATAATTTAATGTTCTTCCATTGAAAGATGGATTGAGAATTTAAAACTTGGGAACGAAAAGAAAGCATCTAGAATCAAACAAACATTGCAAAATCAATTACAAACAAAAGTAACCAAAGATAAGTTTTCAGATTTCAAGATGAACTGGACCCCCAAAAGTGGATAACAAATAGAGCTTAACAAAATCGGGCGTATGGATTGAAACCGAAGTTTTACACAAATGTGTTTACAAAAACCAAAAATAATAATAAATAGCAAAAAATGTACAGATGTTAGAACTTAGAACACATAAGCACATCTAGAAGAATAGAATCAGTAAACGTCGACCATAGATCAATTCCCTTTTTTATTTGGGAGTATTGACTACACCCATAATTCTGAGTTTCATGTTACTCCTCCCAAGAGACGATTACATAGCTACATCTAAACTCTAGGTCAATTCCTACTTGGATTTGGACTCTAATTCACAAAGAATCCCCAATTAAAATTCACCAAGGGTATCCATTTACATGACCCAATATAAAATCATTGGCAATCCAGAACCTTTCCTCTTCCCAACCATTTCAGGTTAAGAAGATGTGAAAGCATGTTTTATCTCTAGTTTATCTCTATAAGGAATTGTGCAGATGCATATACATATAGTATACCAACGGGTGGCCCTACAAACGCTTTACAGACAATCATTCCCATTTCGGGTTAAGAAGATGTGAAAGTGTGTTTATCTCTAGTTTGGGTCTGGGGTTGAATCATTTTTTTTAATATGTTCTTTCAATGCAAAGGGAGAAGAGAAAAAAAAGAAATATGCGATTTGAATAAAAAAGACTGATGTAATGAAACATTAAAAAGTAATATATAAAACCATCCTAGAGTCTATGGTGGCTATCAATATTAAAAAGTAACATATAAAAGGTTTTTCTATGTGTGAACATATTTATGTCGTTAAAAAATTCACAAGACAAATGGATTTTACAGTCCTTTTGGATGGGGTGATTTGACGAGAAATGAATTTCTCTTGGCTACTTAAGAGGAGAGAAATGGGAAGAAATGAAGAGAAAAAGATTTCTCTGAAAACCCATTTTTTGAATCTCTCCAAAAGGGGAATGATTGGGAGAGAAAAGAAATTAGCTCATTACTAATATTTGATAATACCAATTGCCCATCTAAATATGGAAGAAATAAAAAAGAATGACAACCATGTTGAAAACGACATAATAAACAAATCATCCGTTGAAGCAACCTGAAGGCCATGCCGAAAACAACCTTCTACAAAAAACTGACAATCCCAAGTAGAAAAAACTCAAAAGAAAAGATACCTAACTTTATGTCAATTCAAACACTAGAGACGCCATTGCACAAGGTATCAAATTATATAAGTACACTGGTTGAATTATTATCGAGTAAGAAAATTTCTTTTTGAATGATACTCATTGAAATTCTGTTTTCAATATTATTTTATCCACTTAAATAATTACAATTAAATTATCAAATAATTATAATTTATAAGAACCATAATCCTGTGCATGTGCAGCCTTGTTTTACCTCTTGCAACTGCTTCACAGCATTGAACAGGAAAGCAAAACTTGGGTCATTCGAGGGTAAATCTGTCAGAAAGAACAATATATTCATCTTAGATACACCACTAGAACAATTTGAGTTACCTAAAAACTATCTCAAGGAAACAGGGTCATATTATATGGGGAGAACATATACATACACGCACAAACTGCAGAGTTTGAGGTTACCTTGGGGAGTAATACTGGGAATGGACAAGGAAATTCTCGGCAGTTGATAGGGAATGATAAAGCCAAGGCAATTCTCTCCTCCTCCATATTCTTTAGTGATTCTAAAAAGCTCCTGAAGCACACCATCAACGAGGCAATATGAAAAAATCCTCCTTTTCACCCTCAGGTATAGGAGAGGGGTCTCCATTTTGTGGAACTCTAAAACGCAACCCAAGAAGAGAGATTCGGGTAAGTTCCCAACATAAATGACACTGGTATGAGACCATGTACCGCGGTTGAGAGCCCAGAGGGACAACTGAGAATGACCCGTAACTCGAATGTATATTAGGTCGTCTCCGGATACCCCCAAATAACGGCAACTACAATAACCGTTGGAATATAACCCAGCATCCCTCATCATCTTAACCCATATGCACAACCCATCATCATCTAAGTATTTCTCATCGCCCGGTATGTCAATCAAGAAGAATGAAATGGTTTTGGCGCGAACATCAAAGGAGACGACACCCGAAGGTTCCAACAACCAATGCAAAGCCCCTCTACAGAAGGTGGACCGACCAGATAGTGCATAGTCGTCCCTGACATAGGAGGGGACCCTGTGATAGGTTGTCCTCCAATATGAGCGAAGTGAATAATAAGAAAAAACCCGAAACTTACGAGCTCCAGTATCTGCAATGTCGACGATTGTGAAACAGGGATTGGTAGAATAAGGATCAAAAGCAAATCCAAATAACATATACCGTGTGGCAAAGGTTTCGTAATTGTAAGAGAATCGGACAGAGACTTTATCACCGGTAGTAGGATTATAAACCTCATAGTATGGAACAGGCATTGAAGAGTAGAGGAGGAGTAGGCCATTGGAAGAGTTAATGACTAGCAGAGTGTTATCTGATACTCCGATATGGCTCTCAAAACTGGTTCATAGGCGATTGCCTGTGGAAATCGAAATCGAACACTTATCATTGGGATTGGATGGGATTGCTCTGAAAACGAACTTGTTGTAGTTTGTCTGGTAGAAAAACCCTAAAATCGAGAGATTTCTAGCCTCATATCTATCCACAAACGGTGTTTCGGACAGATATTGTCACCACCACTTGGAAATGGATTTGAATCGAGCCACCGACGGCGGTGGAAGCCTCAAAAATACCTCCTCGATCAACAACTTCTTGCGTTCCTCCTCGATCAACACATCGCGTTTCATGCGTTCTTCCTCCTCCTCCATCATCATCGCCACCATCAACCTTGTCGGGAGCAACAGCCTTCTGCATTCCCCCCCCCAACCTACTGAAGGCGTTCCACCCCAACCTTCTGTAGGAGTTCCACCTCAACCTTTCGTAGGCGTTGCCCCAAAATTTTGCTCTTATTCTGTTTAGTTTCCGTTTTCTGTATTTAATTTTCTAAAAATTAAATATATATATATATATATATTTAGTGAATAATTTTTAAATTTTGCAAATTACTTAGATATATTTAAATAGTAAAATATTTATAAAAAAATATATTAAAAAATTAATAAATATATAAAAATATAAAAAATATACTAATTTTTTATATTTTTTTTGTATTTAGAGTATTTTTTTTAAAAAAAAATCACAAATATTATATTTTTTAAGTGTATTTATGTTAGGCGTGTCTAAAAATTAAAAAAGAAATTAAAATATTAAAAAAATCATTGAAAATATTAAAATACGAAAAATAAAAAAAAAAGAATTTTTTGAAAACTATTTTCTAAAAATCAGAACCAAACAAGTCGTAACACTTGCCTAATTTATGTGAACCTCCTAATTCTTATCTTTTTGGGCAAATTACACTAACAACCCCTATAGTTTGGGGTTCGTGTCACTTTAGTCCCTGACTTTTCATTTGTGACGCATTTGATCCTGAATTTTGAATCTTGTTCCAAATAAGGACAATTAAAGATACCATTGCTCAATTTTAAGGGCAAAGTCGTCAATTTGATAAAATATAAACTAATTTGACAAAAATAAATGTTAAAAAAATATTTTTTAATTTTTAAAAATAATTTCTACCCACCAAAGATAAAATTTTGTAAAATTAATAAATCCTTTAGACATTTATTTATTTATTTATTTTACCAAATTAATATTTATTATGTGTTCAGATAATGATCATGTAATTTATTTATTTTACCAAATTAATATTTATTATGTGTTCAGATGATGATCATGTAATGAGTGGTTATTAGACTTTTAATGTGTAATTGATATATTTAATATATAAAATGTTCTTAGTTTTGGATTTTTTGATTTAATGGAATGGCTTAATAATGATACCAAAGTTGTTGTCATATTTGACTTTTGAAAAAATAGAAACTAATTTAATGAAAATAAAAACAGCCGCCCATTGCATGATCATCATCCAAACACATAATAAAAATTAATTTAGTAAAACAAACAAATAAATAAATAAATAAATAAATGTCTAAAAAATTTATCAATTTTACATAATTTTATCTTTAGTGGGTAGAAATAATTTTAAAAAATTCAAAAATATGTTTTTGACATTTATTTTTGTCAAATTAGTTTATATTTTATTAAATTGACAATTTTGCCCCTTTGAAATTGAGCAATAGCATATTCAATTGTCCTTATTTGGAACAAGATTTTAAATTTAGGGTCAAATGTCTCACAATTGAAAAGTTATGAACCAAAGTAACACAAGACCCAAACTATAGACATCGTTAGTGTCTTTTTTTATTACAATTATACCTCAAGTAAGATTACATTAAAATATTACTTTTAATAGAATACCCACCATGTAGACACCCCATTTTTGACCGTCCTCAAGACTTGGACGTCACCGTTTGAACACTCGGTGATCATCCATGATTGTGTTCATTTGGAGTTCCCGGAGGTCTCGGCTCGCGCGCCCTACCTCAGGATCTCCGAACTTGACCGTGTAGTGTCCGGTTTTGCACCAAACACTTTTGTTTTGCCTTAGAAGGGCAGGGAATGCCTTGTGAGACACCCCCATACACCACCGGCAGTGGCTGGAGGCCACCGGCTGGTCTTTTTCTTCCATCGGCAATTTTGTTTGCCGGTCGGCATACTTTATTGCCGGTCGGCATAATATGTTGCCGGTCGGCACATTTTTTTTGCCAAAATAGCTTTTTGGGCAGCCGACCACTGTTCCTCCACTTTATGGAGATATTTTGTGCCAGCTGTGATAGCTGGCACCAACTCCTTTCCCCTCCATACACGTGTATGGAGGGATTTCCCTCTAGCCAAGCTTGTTGAATAAGCTTTGCAAGAGGGATCCTTATAAGAGGGAGGCTTTGCTCTTGGTTCTAGGTTAGAAAAACAGAAGCAAAATCAGCCTTTAGAGATATAGATACATATTGTCTCTATACCTCTCTCCCTCTCCCTTCTTGTGTGTGTTTCTTGGCCCAAAAGGTGTGTTTTACCTTACTTTTGCACCATTACACACACTATTACACCTTAGTCCGAGATTGAGGGACTTGGGGGAGTTGTTTCTTGAGATTGGACCGTAATGACACCTGGGATGTCGGCCAAGAGGTCTTCAGCAACAGCCTTCTTCCATCCTATTTCGTCGGCGGAGATGGCCACAATAACTTTAGTGCCAAGGCGGATCGCTGGAAGTGCGGTTGATGGGTTGGCTAGATCGTAAGCCGATGCCTCAGAACTTGGGCGTCTTCGGCTACGAGTCCTGCCTGCTAGTGCAAAAAGTGGAGCTTGACTTCGGCATTGATGCTGAGAGGGTGGAATCAGTTGTGGAGCAGAGGTTGATGGCTACTCTGCTGGATCAGAGGTTGATCCCTGATCTGGTCAAGGTGATGAAGTTGTAGCAGAAGGAGGGGACTTGCTATTCTTCGAGACATTGGGCAAGATAGATTGGTAAGTCGGGATATAGTTCAGGAGCAGAGGAGTCTTGCACTGATTGATAGACAAGTTCAGTAGCTTCTTGAAGTCCTTGCTTGGGAAGAACGTTTTGTGGAAGTCCTTTGGTGGCTGAGGAAGAACTGCAAAATAAAACAAACAGACGTTAGAGCATACAAAAATATCATAGTAAAAAAGACTTGAGAAGCAAGCAAAAGTAATACTTGGCTCTTGCCTAGTGAATAATGTAATGCGTAAAGAGTTTAAGAATGGATGTCCTTACAGTAATGAAAACAGTTCGTTAATTCAGTATATCAGTCATTCAGTCATATATGGTACATCCATTAGCATAACAATAACAGTAGGTCTTAAAAGACCGAACAGTAAATGATGGCCATCAATCAGTAAACAGTAGTGG